TGCTGTGTGTGTAACCTGGCCTTCTGTCTCCATTTTGTCAGGCTTGACCTGGAGCTCAAAGATCACGAGGGCAGCACAGCGCTGTGGCTGGCACTGCAGTATATCACCGTGTCTTCGGATCCCTCTGTCAACCCGTTTGAAGATAATGCGCCGGTCGTAAACGGCACCTCGTTTGACGAGAATAGCTTTGCGGCCCAGCTCATCCAGAGAGGAAGCAACCCCGATGCACCTGACACTACCACAGGTTATTAAGCTGCTCAGTAACCTTTCTGCACATTACTGTCCAACTCCAGTGCTGCTTGTGCCTTAAACATTCTCCTTTACGTCGTTTATTGGTCACAGAGTATTGCCTCATGCAGAGAGCAGCGCTTGCAAACAATGAGGCGGCTGCTCTTTTCCTCACAACTCATGGGGCAAAGGTCAACCACATTAACAAATGGGTACGTATGAGCAGACAGTTTGCTGCAGACTTGTTCTTTTTTCTTCTGACCTTTTTCTCACGTCTATGAGGCCAATCGCTGCTCCAGAGACCCGTCGGCTCAGCGTTGTATCAAACAGCCACGCAGTGACCGAGAGGTCGTTGCAGGTTGTTTTAGTGATCGTTGGAGAAAAGTAAAAACACAGATTTCATGAAATAACGAATGCACTGTAACATCATAAATCACAAACTCTCTGAATGTCTCAATTTGACCTTAAATCAATGAAACTAACATAAAATCAATAATATTGATAATTGGTCATAAATACATGCTCGGTCCTTTTACTGTCTCAGGGTGAAAGCTCACTTCATACAGCATGTCGCTGTGGCCTAGCAAGCCTGACAGCTGAGCTTCTCCAGCAAGGGGCCAATCCTAACCTGCAAACCCAGAAGCCTCTACCCGATGACCCCCTCGGTGTGGCCATGCAGACCCCCCTCCACATGGCCATCGCTCACAACCACCCAGATGTGGTCTCCGTCATCCTGGAGCAGAAAGGTCCATGTATGATTTGGGACGTTGTTACATCCTGTAACTAACCTGCAAAGCAAGCATGTTTACATTTGTGTGTAACGATCATTCTGACATTGATACTTGCAGCCAACGCACTACATGCCACCAACAACTTCCAGATCATCCCAGACTTCAGCCTCAAAGACTCCATGGACCAGACAGTTCTGGGCTTGGCCCTCTGGACAGGTACACAGCAACAAAGTCACTTCTGCGTCATCAAATTGATCTGTGAAATCAATAATAGTGATTGTATTTGTCGATCTGTCTGTGTCAGGCATGCACACCATAGCGGCTCAGCTGCTGGGATCAGGAGCATCTATCAATGACACTATGTCCAGTGGACAAACTCTGCTGCACATGGCCATCCAAAGGCAGGACAGCAAGAGCGCACTCTTCCTTCTTGAACACCAGGCAGACATTAATGTTAGGTAACGATACAGAGATGTGTGTAATTTTAATGTATTTCAGCAGATTACAAAATACTTTTCATTCAGTGTTCGTTTGTTTTTACTCCAACTGTTTTCTCTTTGGGAACTACCAGGACCCAGGAGGGACAAACAGCACTGCAGCTGGCCATCAGTAACCAGCTGCCTTTGGTGGTGGACGCCATTTGCACAAGAGGAGCTGACATGTCGGTGGTTGATGACAAAGGTGACCCTCCACTGTGGCTGGCTCTTGAGAACGGACTTGAAGATATCGCGTCCACACTGGTAAGAATGCACAAACAAACGGTTTAACAATGTTTGTTGGTGTTTTAGTCCCTCACTGTTACGCTGACACTAAGTGTTTGTCAGGCTGGGTCTGTGCTTTGGATGTGGCAGGAATATTCTGTATTTCTCAGCATCTATGGCATGTTGAGCAAGTGAATATAAGGCAAGGACAGGAATGCTCCCAATCGAAATAAAGGTCAGCAGTGATATAAACCAGTTTGAAATAAAACTCCAAAAATAAATTTTTAATAAGTATAAGAATGAAGAAAATGCAATTAACCCAAGACAGCAGTCAAAGTGATGTTTATTTTAGTAAATCTAAAAATAGTTTCAGTTGAATATGAGAAAATATTTTTGTGATGTTATGTTCAAAGTTGAAACCATTGAAGTTTTTGTTGTTCAAATTTAGATGATGAGGAAATGATTAA